CCGTTCTGAGTACCTACTCCGAGGCAGGGACTTGTTTAGCCCCTGTAAAAGTTCAGAAACTCTGTCCTTAGGGGGTGGTTCCTGCGGTGAAGACACGCACCAATGGCCCCGGCCCCGTAAAATTACCCCGAAGTTCCTGCGGTGGAAACGGGTCTTTTGTGTGTCCATCAAAACAGGCATCCTTACTGACTTTTCATTGGCACTGTTTCCATGGTGCCTGCACATAATTTCAACAAAGCGTAAATGTCATAAATGTATTAAGAGGTCGTGGTCATTTTTACATTTCTGTGAGACAAGGTTAAGTAGGCTAGGACCAAAGCTAAATTTGGCCAGTCAAGTGAGAGCACCTGAGCTGGTAAGAGGCTCATGGAGGACAGGTGTGTGAGCGTCATACTTGATCTGTGATCACTCCTGTGCACATGCTTGCCTGGGTCCTAACAGTCCAAGGGAAGTGGCAGAGTAAAGGTCTGAGTGTCTTTTAATATTAAACTATTAGTTGTATTTTAGTAAATTGAACTTATTAACGTGTGGTTTTATCTGTTAGTGACTGTAACAACTGACATGCCATTTCCGAGCATCCAAAATTGATGCTGAAGGGCTACCTGCAGCATCAGAGCTTGACACATAGGGACACTGACCAAATGTCTGTATTTGACGAGTTTTGAAAGAGACTCTTTAAGAGACTGGCTCGTATGTTGAGACAATAATTAGTGTAAGATAAGATTTATTTTCGTGAGGACGTATCCAGTAGATTGTCTTGTCTTTCTCTGTTTATTATTTTAATTTTGCTCTTTACGTTGAATTTGGAACTATTTAATATCGTGCACCTTACATGCAGATGATGAGAGTCATGATTAAGTTTGGCGGAGTGATATATTTAAGATGTGAGATGCAACTATTGTTGTCAATGTTAAGTTGTCCTACGTTCTTTTTCAGACATTAAAAAGTGGATCAAGTTACCCAGAGAAGCTTTGATAGTTAATTCAGTAGCTATTAAGTGTATAGGTAAGACAGGAGAAGAAACCTGCCTTTCATTAGCATATAACAAAACAAACCAAATTCCAATTTCAATAAGATGTGAGAAAGAGCAACACTTGAGGAGGCGAAAAAAAAAAAAAGACCTGAATGAAACTCCTGAGCCACAGGTTGGCTGCCCCTGGTTATCATCATTCATAATTGTTAAGTGTCATTTGAGGTAATTAGTGAGACTGTGAATGATTGAGTCTTCGCTGATGTACTGAGCGAACACTCGCAAGCTGGATTCATTCACTGTGTCCACCTCTGTGCTCCTAAAGCCTCAGTCACACCTGCTGTTGACACCAGTGCTGTGCACGTCTCTAAAATAAAATAAAGACACCATTGTTGTGTTTTCTGTTGTTGAAATAAAACAGATAGAGATCCGAATGTTTGTTCCTGCATCAGGTGCAGACGCTCGTCCTGTGTCTGCAGGTTTGTTAGCAGCAGGTGAGATGATGCTCAGCGTGTCTGCCTGCAGTTTCGGAGAGACGTGATTCAACAACAGTAGCTATTAGTTACGTACCTGGTAGTCAATTTATGGATTGATCCAAGTCTACAATAATAGCATCGTCTTACAGTATATTTACTGTTATCTGAGGTTACTGTTTCCATGGCGATTGAGAATTTGCAGTCGTAGATAACAATAATTTATAATCACTGATGTTCCTGTCTCATCATCTTCTTCTCCTGCTTCGAGCAACAAACATCAAATGTCTTATATACTGACAACACAGAATTTTAGATTAAAGAGATTAAAGAAAAAATAACAACTTTAAAGAGAGTATTTTGGTATATTTACATCCCATCAGCCACCCTGACACTGGTTATAGTGGAAACTGCAATTGAGTCTGTCTCTTGCCGCAAATAAACCATCAAATAAAACATCTGCCTCAAACATGGATGAGACATATTTGAGTTTTAATGCATGTGAGTCTTTTGAACACTGTGTTACGATAAAAAAGAATATTTAAACCACAAATTATTCGCTCATCCACAATATCCAACCAGAACATAACTTACATGATATGTAACAGTAATACCTTGATTAAAAAATACTCAAACGGGGGCACCGGTGGCTTAGTGGTAGAACAGGCGCCCCATGTAAAAGGTTGTTGCCGCAGCGGCCCAGGTTCGACTCCAGCCTGTGGCCCTTTGCTGCATGTTACTATCCATTAAAGGCTAAAAAGCCCCAAAAAATATCTAAAAAAAATAAAATTAAATTAAAAAAGAATCAAACGTAGAAGTTCTGCATTTGTAATATCTTAACTTTTAATGTCTTAACTTTTTTTTTTTTTTTATGACATAAGAATTACTTTCAAAATGTACTTAAAGGTCCAGTGTGTAGGATTTACGGAAACATATTGGCAGGAATGGAATATTATATGATAAGTGTGTTTCCTTTAGTGTATAATCCCCTGACAATATGAACTGTGTTTTCGTTACATTAGCTTAGCATTAGCACATTAGCATTAGCATGAGCTGTTTATATCTACATAAGGAGGAGGCCCTTGTCTACAGAGTCCACCTTGCTGTATTGCCATGTTTCTACAGAAACCCAGAATGCAAAAACCAACACTGGCTCCAGAGAGGGCCAATCACGTTTTGGTATTTTTGCATTGCCACTGCAGCTAGCAGCCTCTCCATGACATGATAAACAGCGTTGGAAAAACACTGATTTGTAAAACGCTATATTTGGTGTTTTTACCAGTTGCAAAGCAAATGCAACACATTCTCACTCCGACCTCATCACTTATCGACGTTTGGTCATGGACTTTCCACATTCAAATATGATGTGCAAGGTACCCTGGGTATGTTGGTTGCTGACCTGCTGGGACTTTGTGTCAAGCTCTGCCTATTCCATGCGTTGTCTTCTTTTAAGATAAACTCATTCAAAATAAATGCCCTACATCAGTACAACACTGCAAACTGTACTTTTTCCTTCAACAACTGACACGTGGTTGGGTTTAGGTTGGCTTTATAGTCTTATGGGACACCAACGCTGCTCTTCGGTTGAAATTCGGGGTTTCTTGGACCCATCCCTCTCAGTCACCCTTCGGCGCCTTAACTTTCATTCTTGTCCTGACATGTTTCCCCCTGACGCCGCCATGCTGACGTTAAGGACAGCTTTGTTCAGTGGTGTCTGATGCTGGAAGTCACTGCCCAAGTGCTGGATTTCGACGACTTCGGAGTGCAACCTGGTTGTTAAATCACCTGGTGTTATGCTAGGCAGCACCTCCAAGATGTTGCCATGATGTGATCGCAACACAAATTCAGCCAGTCCCTTTGAATTCTGTGTGACCTTTACATTTTTATCCAATCACAGCAACTTTGCAAATGTGACTGCTGTTAGCGTCATAGAGCTAACTTTACCCAATGGCAGGTTAAACAACAGTGTTGAGCTGTTTCGGTGCCAGTGTGAGATTGTGGGGACCCTTAAATGGCTCGGTGTCGATGTTAACTGCTTCAGCACACCTGGATTGGCATCAAGGCGCACTATTTGAGAACCACTGGTATAGCCCATGCAAACTGGGCAGAGATAGCAAGAGATTAGCTCATGGAGAGGACCCTTTAGCTATTCCGAGCAGCTTCAAACAGCAGCAGCAGCCAATCATTGGCAACCAGCTGTCAGTCCCCACAGACAACCCTCCGTAAGGGAAACACTGAAAAGTTCATAATAATACGCTCTGCAATTTCCTTACAAAAACCATCAATAAACATCACAAAATACATGCCAAAAATTCAGGCATTTCCAGCCACAATAATCCCCAAAACAGCCAGCAAAATCTTGGCGGGACTGACAGGGGATAAATGTAGCCTTGATCCGCTATCACTTGAAGCAGACAAGAGGAGCAGATACAAAGTTTTAGTGATCTCATTTCTTTTAAACTCCACACCCCCAGATTTTTTTTTCATTTTCAAACCTGTGTCTTTGTGTAAACGCCTTTAGTTAGATTTCTTCAACATGACGGCACTACATCCTGCATACCAGGTAAAATGGTGGCAGTACAAAAGACCACTTACAAATACCGAGGCTAAACCTTTCAGAAAAAAAAAAACATCACTCATTAAGAAAGATGTCACTAAAAAAAGCGAACAGCTCCCCCGTGTTTCTTTATTCTTTCCTATTTATATGAACACTTCTACGCATCAGAGTGAGATGAAGTCGTGAGTAACATCTTCTAACCCGTGTTCACCTCCTGGTACATGGTAAACAGTATGATTCAAGATCTCAGGGAAATAAAATAGAAACAAAGTATGCAAAAGATTAAAAGTCACGACATATTCCACATCCACTGATGTCAAAAGGGAGGGGCATTCAAACTCACGATATGGCATCATTTCATATTAGATTAAAGCAGCATATAATTTTAGACACTGTTAAATGTTACTTGCGCCATTTAGTTTCCAAGGTAACAGGGAGGGTATATTTAGAGTGCACTAAACTGAGACAGAAGGAAAAAAGTGTTAATAATCTTGATGGAGCAATTACAATTAGTCAAAGTCAAATAGTAAAGATCAAAACACCTCATCTGCTTACAGCTGAAGGTGAGACAATGCTCAAGAACAACCACTCAGCTCATTCAGCACCACTTCTGACACTTGCGTCATTCAGTATTTAGTGGCATTACTGATTCATATGGTACAGTAGAGGTTTCACTTGAGCGACTCATCAAGGGAGGTTCAGGGGAAATACAGACGTCAATGAGAGAAGGTGTTTTTTTTTTTTGTGTTTGATATGTTGAGATTATTGTAAGCAATAACCACCCACTGTGCTGCCAAACATCAGCAACGCAATAAAATCAAATTTACTGAAAAAGCACACAGAAATTAAAGTTTTAATTCATCACAGTATCGTCCAGGGTCATAACAGCGCTGCGTCAAACCAGAGGTGGTTGTAGTTTGAAATTGGGGTGTAATGTAATTGTAATGAGAAACTTGTGTGTGGTTTCATGTATATTTTATGACGCAAAAGGAAAACGACACAAAGGTTACACAGTTTTATTTGGTTTTTACTTCAAACTTAAAGCTTTCACACAGTTTATGGCTCTTACTTTAGTCTGGGTTTCTCTGTGTTAACACAAGGTGAGAGAAAGACAGAATGATGCCCAACATACCTGTAATTCTATTTAAAGTTTTTCCACTGGGAGTGAAACTTTAGTTATATACAGTGTTGGGAAGGTTACAAATGTAATAGGTTACAGATCGTTTCCTTTTTTTAAAAATGCAGTAAGCCATGTAACTATTTTAATTACATCCTCAAAATAATGTCTCTCATGTTTAATGACTTTTTGATGTCTTCTCTTATGTGCCTGATTGTGGTTGCATCAACTCAACTGTAATTATTTCCTCAGGTTTGACGCTGAGCATTTCAGTGTTGACAGCATTTTCCCTGCTGGTAGCTTATGGCCCTGGTCACACAGAAAGCGTTTTAGCAGCTTTACATGCCTTTTTGTAATTGATTTTAATGAGAATGAAGCTTTTTGCTCGCTGTTTTTGCATTGCTACATGCCTCGCGTTTCTGCGTTCCAGGTGCCTGGCGTTTTTGCCGGAGCGCTCTGAACTGCTCAAGTTGAAAAAACTTCGTACCGGAAAAGCGCCCAATGACATCTCTTTTTTCCCATTGTCCAATTGGATGATTTGAGAGGCGGGCCTTCTGTGGTGGTTATGTTGTGAACAATGGACAAGAAACTGGTGGTAGCGGCTGCTGGATACCCAGGGCTATAGGGCACAATGATAGGCAGCAGGATGTCAAACTGCCCGAGTCATCCTAAAATATGCCTGGAAACAGCAATCATAACGCGAAGCTCCTGACCCACTGGTGGTACTCCCTGCGATCCATGCTGTGAAATAAATAAAATGAAAAAATAAATGGTAGATTGATTACACAGGAAGGTTAGAGTAAAAAGATGATGGCATGGTTGCCTGGCAACAATAAAAAAGCGCAGCAAGCTTCTTTTTTTTTTTTTTTTTTTTAAAAAGTGGCATCCAATTTTTTTTTTTAAAAAAGGCAGTGCAACGCGCCTCATGTTTTGCAACCTTCAAAACGATTTCTGTGTGATCGCGGCCTTACACTGTACAGTAATGTAAAACCCTTTTCAGATTTCAGAAGGGAAATACTGTTGAATGTCTGGCACTGAAAGGCGTTCCTATCTGACGACGCGGCCAGCTGCCTTGGCGTAGTCGGCTCATTCACACTCAAGGTGCTCACAGCAATGTGTATTGATTTGATTGGCAGATGAATGGTGGTGCAAATTCAAATAAGAAAACCAGCTGAAAACAACACTCAGTCCTGGAGTGCAAACTGTTGAATGAATGGAGCCTGTCTGGATGTAGAGACAGCTCATTGTGAGCCGTAGGATGGCTCGATGGTGTTGCACTTAAATCTGTCCCAACTGCTTGGCTGACCTGCGTTGTCCGGCAAGAAGTCAAAAGAAGGCATCTCTGCACGGTGAAAAAGAATAAATGGTCCACATATAAGCTTTTTACAAAAAATATATTTGGATGTACTAAGTTTTAGTTGTAAAACTCAAATATGTAAGCAAAAATAAAGAATTTCTGTTTAACATCTCATTGCCACCCTCAATTTGGCGGAGCGTCCTCGAGGATTGTCTTGTACGTCGTCCTTTTCTGGGGTGACCACCTTTTTTCGCACAGGAAGCCAATAAACACTTCCACCACCTTGTTTTTCAACCATCAGTTTTTCCTTTCGGTTGCCTTGTTTCCTCGGGCTGAAGTGATACTGATCTAGATTGGACAAGTCGTCTCCCTGGAGGAAACGTTTGACCAGTCTATCTTCTAGCGAATGAAAGGTGATCACGCAGAGACGTCCTCCAGGTGTCAGTGCCGCCTGGGAAGCACGCAGGCCTGCGTGTAGCTCGTTCAGCTCATCGTTCACAAAGATACGCAGAGCCTGGAAAGTCTTAGTGGCCACATGTGCAGGTCGGTGGAGTCGGTCCTTACGTGCATAGAGAACAGCTGCAGGAAACGATCCTAGAGACAGAGAGACGGTCAGAGTGAGTGGATCCTGTAAAAACTGGATTATTTAAGTCTGATGCACTACGACATTTTGCTGTTACTGTATTTTTACTGTTGTTTCATTTGAATATAAAATTATTTAAAACAGAAGGCACATAGAATAATACAAAAAAGGGAAAAGGAAATTCTCAATGTAAACAGAAAAATATTTGGAAATGTGAAGCTAGAGAATGAAGATTTACAGCTTTAAAGAAACATAAAAAATTAGATCTGAGCACATGCAACACTGCAGGAGACAAGAGGAGCAGATGAATGACGCAAGATGAGCGCGATTACTTTTAACGCTACAACAATAATTCCATTAATCGACTAGGCCATCAACAGAAAGTTAAAACTATTTTGAGAAGCGACTGATTGTTAGTCAACAATCAAACTGATGTTCCAGTAAAAACAATTTGATGACATCACCTTGGACAGTGATAAATTCTGAGGAGCATTGTTCTCTATTTCCTGTTATTTTACTCACCAAATGACAAACAGAAAAGCTGACAGTGAGCATCTGTCACTTCAGTTTTGGAGCACTTTTTTCTTCCAATTCAGCATGTTAAATTAGTGGCAGAAGCCATTGGTGAATGAAAGCACTTTACTGTGCAGTTAAGCTTAGTGTACGTGAAGAGAAAAGGAAACGAGGAAAGCAAACAAATGGCTAAAGTCAAGAGGGCGTGGGATTTAACAAATTTTGTTTGTTTTTTTTACAGCTCTTTAGCACTAATGTTTCTTAATGGTTTGTTATTGTTCACCACCGCACAGTAAACATCATTTGGTCTTTCAACATCAGGTTGTGTTAATACGCTAACTGGCTAACTAGCATCTTGAATCCATCCTGTCGATCTTCCAGTTTCCCTTTTTGAATGAAAAATACAAACTACCACCGCCTCCTGGAATGGGCAGTTATTTCCTCTCATGCAGGCACAGAACGTACATGATAGTTAGCTTCTGGCTAACTGTGGTGTGTTCAGGTGCAACTTTTTGGCCTTGACACGGGAGACATGAGGCGACAGCCTTCGTTGCCACTAGTTCTTCAGTGTCTGTTTGGTGTGTCTGGGCCTTTAGGAGCGGTAGTCTGGAATATTTAACTAACTCTGGAGAATCTTCAGTTAATACAGTGTTTTTTTTCTAATCAACATAATGAAGGGGCAGTCATACTGAATTTCGCTACCCGTACCCCATTTCTGTGAGCAACGGAGCAAGATGTATTTGCTTCCAAAAGCAAACTGACCCGTCTTGTTCACTTCGCATCTGTGACTAACGTGTTCATAATCAGTCTTGGACAACCAATTAATGGTGGCTTTTTTCAACCATGAGCATTTACAGTGCTTTTCCTAACTGTGCCCAGTACCTTGAATGTTCTCTCACCTTAACCATGTATAGCTGTTTGTATTCCATAACATCAGAGGAGTGATGTAATACAGCGCACAGTGAAGAATGCACAGTGACAGAACAACCATTGAACAAGCTCACGGTTCAAGAGGTTCAACTCTTCAGGTCAAGGCTACACAGCCTACAACCATCTGAAGGATGTGAGACACTACAGTGAGATCAGCAACACATACACATTTTGGACAGATGAGAGCAATCATCTGAAGGAGGAGTGAAGGAGGCCATCTGGGTCAAACTGAAACAACCACCCATGAACACAATGGTGGACTGAACCACCACTTATCAGCTACCACACGACCAATCCAAACCTTCTTTCTCTCATGTGACCTAATAACTCAAATATGACCTCAGTAGCCCACAGATGTTATCAGTGTATGGACAGTCTGACTCACAGGATGCAGGCTGTGCCTACACGCCTGCCATCAGCCACCTGTTTCAGATGGAATTCTCCTATGCTTCCACTATCTGCATGTTACCGTTTTCAAAATCCCTGTTGCTATATGAAACAAAGCCAAACATACCTCCACAAGAGTCTTAGCGCTGTGTGTGAAACAACAAGAACCTCCGAGCACTGCCCATGTAGTTCCATGCGTCCTTTACATTGGCATACATACATCCACCAAATGGCACGAGAGTCAAAAGTTTCACAACAAACAACAAACAAGGCAACGCTGGACATGGTTATAGTAAATTACCTTTAAAAAAAAGAAGCCTGACAAATGGAGGTGGTCTGAGGCCATTATAGACATCATGACATATGGACTGAGAAATCTTTTCATTACATTACCGATTTGTTCCGTTCCACCATTTTACCATCTTTAAAATGGTAGGGCACCGCACTCTCAGAATAGCAGAGCATTCTCTAAGCAGTCCATCTTTAGAGATGGAGCAGTAGAGCGCCGGCGGAGTGAATATGTGATTAACTTAATCGATTGTTAGTTCATATAGAAATATAATGCCCAGTTTCTTCGATCAACAGGGGTCTCATTTTAGTGTAGAGCGTCAGACTGAATGTATGAACGCACCATGTCAGGTCACTCACTGTCCGGGATGGCGAGTGTTGCTTGAAAAAGTAAACACTGACCAAAGGGACCAGACTGGCCAACCTGTATGCTCTCACTCAGTGGATGGATGATGTGACAGGATTGCTGAAGGCGTTGACGACCAGCTTTGTAATTGATAACTATGCCAATCTTACAAAGGAGGACGACACTCTTTCTTCCAGTTTGTTTTGCGATCCAAGCTAAGGTTAGCTAATGCGCTAAAAAGTTAGCATCAAGGAGAAATCCAATATTCCTCTTAATATCTCCCCAATTTCTGATTAGGTGGACATGATAACCCACATAACGTTATTCATGCCTACAACAGTAAATACTTTTCCCCTAACCTGATATGATGGGAGCGTTTTTGATGATCGCCTCCGTCCAGTCCTTTCATCTTATATAGTGGCAGCTACTATGTGTTCAAATACAAGTTGAGAGTTGATTAATTTTAAGACTCCTGTGTGGCCCACAGCCCTGTGGTGCCGAGTCATGTTTTGCCTCCAGCTAACAAACTAACATCATTGTGACGTCGGCCCTAAAGGGTCCATATATACTGCTCAGTTATTTATTGCAACACACTCAGACTGCAGAGTGCTGTCTGGGCACAGACGGAGCAGCAGAATGCCAGACGCAGTGACAGTGAAACCTCACTGTTCATTGCGCTGGGTCCAAAAGTTTGGTTTCACTTCCTTCTGCAGCAGCTGCTCCTCTCATCTATCATTCTGATCTGATCAGCTCTGACCTGATCAACTGATGCGCAGCTAATGCCAGACACAGATTCTGTATATGTATCTAACATTGAGCATAAATGAGCCCCTAATGATCAATGTGGCGTTTCCTTTTTTCTTTTGCAGGGGTTTACTCATTTTCATGCCTGGGCTCACCTCCCACCTAAAAAAGTTCCCGACACTATTTTGCAAGGGCACTATTGCTGCATTCTTGGTGTACAGAGATGCAAAAAACCCAGAGCATTTTTTCCCTTAGTGCAGTTATGATGGGTTCTGTCAGACCTTTCTCCAGTGCTGGCACAGCGCAAGACAGGTCCAGCTATGTGAGACTAGTGTGTGGATAACACAAAAGAGGATGAGATTCCTGAGAGCTCCACCAATCAGGAGAATAAAAGAAGCCTCTTGAATGAAAACATGAAACTGATTTAGCACTTGCAGATATGCTATCTTTGGTGGACTGAGAATCATCAGACATAGTAGGCCAGTTGTATTATTAATGCAAAAGGAGTCATTAAATTAAACAAACAAAAAAAAAGAGATGCATAGACGTAACAAGATGAAGGACAGAAAATATAGCTTATTGAAAAATACATCCAGGCTACAGCAGGACTGAGCGGCAGGTCCATCAGAGGCTCCGTGCAGAGCAGATGGAGTGTGGAGATGGTGTTGATATGGCTGATGTGTCACTAAAATACCGAGGTAAATGCGGCCAACTGGCTCTCATGATCTCTCAGTTCACTGAACGCCAAGTTCAAGTTAAATCTGATGGAGCACAAAACGATTACACGACAACACCGTGATCTCTGTTTAAAAATAACAAAATACTGCATTTTTTGTAGTTGTTGCTCTCTTGCTGCTGCACTCAGTCTTGTTTTCTGTAAAATAAAGGGTGATTTATGTTTCTCTCCACCACCACAACCTTCCTCTGTGATACTCCTGAACAATTGTCCATGCAAAACATTTCATATCTCCTCCTGTATAAAATGCATGTTCAGTTAAGAGACAGGCATTGCCAACTGCAAGATATGCAGTAGGGAAATCTGCACGTACAGGCTTGTGTACCTGTTTTATAAGTAACATGCAGGATGCAAAATGCATCAGAATTTATGCACAAAAAGGTAAATGAATGCAGACATTAGAGGCTAGGGCCCAAACTCTGACTAACAAAGGGGCTGCAAAAACTTGCTGAAAATTAAAGTTGGGGAAACATTAGGTTTATGTCAATACGTCCAACTCATAACCCCCACACAGACAAAAGAACAATTAGACACTTATATAGACCTAAAGAGAAACTGCAATAAATAGAGAAGTGAGTGATGTGGCATTTCTCTCCTCCTGCACTAAACAGCCCAAGGTGTGACTCACACTGCAATCAATACAATGCCTGCACAGCAAGGACCAGCCCCGGTCTGGCCTCACCAAGCCATATGCTCTCTCTCTAATTCATCTTTCAAAGGTCCTACAGACAGATCCAGGGAGGAATGAAGAGATTAAGATGTGTACATAAAGGGAAAATCAGGTAGTTAAGAGGGAACCACAACATCGAATGTATTAAATAGGAATTAACATTCTCCCTGTATACTTCCTTTTGGTTGAGCCACATCGTAATGTGCTATATTTGATGCTTGAAGCATGCATCAACAAAGGCAATAGCACAACTACATCCCACAACAGGCTATTTGGACAACAACAACAAGAGTGTTTGATGCTTTGGTGTTACTGGCCCAACAAAACGCAGGAGTTTGTTCACAACAACAGAATAAATGAAACAGCCAGCATTGATACAACTTTGTTTGAGGTGGCA